TCTAAAAATAAAAATAAAAACGATATCTAGCTGAGACCGGTTTGGCTCAGTGGATAGAGCGTCAGCTTGCGAACTGAGGGGTCCGGGGTTCGATTCTGGTCAAGGGCATGTACCTTGGTTGTGGGCACATCCACAGTAGGGGTGGTGCAAGAGGCAGCTGATCGATGATTCTCTCTCATTGATGTCTCTAACTCTCTATCACTCTCTCTTCTTTTCTGTAAAAAATCAATAAAATATATTAAAACAAACAAAAAAACCCAAAACGATATCTAATGAACAAAAATAATTAGTAAATAAAATAGAATCAGAGGCATGGGAACATGGAACAGACTTAAAAACCTCAGAGGGAATGTGGGGAGGGGGCGGGAAGAGATTAACCAAAGATCTTACATACATGCATATATGTGTTATCTAGGGACACAGATAATAGTGTGGTGAAGGCCTGGGACTGGGTGGGAACCAGGTGAAGAGGGGCAATAGGGGGGAAAAAGAGGGGCATCTGTAGTACTCTCAACAATAAAAAAAAAAATAGAAGATAGAAACAGATGGTGTGTATACCATTCTCATAAATTGGAAGAATTCACATAATTAAAATGTCTATACTACCCAGAGCAATCTACAGCTTCAACACAATCCCTATTAAAATACCAATTTCACAGAGCTAGAACAAATACTCTAAAAATTTATATGGAACCATAAAAGACTCCATATAGCTGCAGCAATCTTGAGAAAGAAGAACTAAATAAGAGGCATCACAATACTGAATATCAAACTGGTCTACAAAGCCATTGTAACCAAAACAGCCTAGTACTGGCAAAAGAACAGGTATATAGACCCAATGGATCAGAAGAGTGACGCCAGAAACTGATTCACACCATTATGGTCAATTAATATTTGGCAAAGGAGGCACGTATATACAATGGAGTAAAGACTTTAACCAATGGTGTGGGGAAACTGGACAGACACATGCAAAAAGATGAAACTAGACCACCAACAAAAATAAACTCAAGCCGAAACCAGTTTGGCTCAGTGGATAGAGCGTTGGTCTGTGGACTGAAAGGTCCCAGGTTTGATTCCGGTCAAGGGCATGTACCTTGGTTGCGGGCACATCCCCAGTAGGGGGTGTGCAGGAGGCAGCTGGTCAATGTTTCTCTTTCATCAATGTTTCTAGCTCTCTATTCCTCTCTGTAAAAAATCAATAAAATATATATATATTTTTTAAAAAGAATAAACTCAAGATGCATAAAAGACTTAAAAGGCATGAAACCATAAAAATGTTAGAGGAGAAAATCTCAGACATCTCACATAGCAATATGTTTACAGAACATCGAGGGCCGTGGTCGGCAAACTGCAGCTCTCGAGCCACATTGCGGCTCTTTGGCCCCTTGAGTGTGGCTCTTCCACAAAATACCACGGCCTGGGCAAGTCTATTTTGAAGAAGTGGCATTAGAAGAAGTTTAAGTTTAAAAAATTTGGCTCTCAAAAGAAATTTCGTTGTACTGTTGATATTTGGCTCTATTGACTAATGAGTTTGCAGACCACTTGTCCTAGGGCAAAGGAAACTAAGGAGGAAATAAACAAATGGGACTACATCAAAATAAAAAGCTTCTGCATAGCAAAAGAAACCACCATCAAAATGAAAAGGGAGCCCACTGTATGGCTTGTCAATGATACATCTGACAAGGAGTTAATATCCAAAATATATAAAAACTCAACAAAAGGAAGACAATCAAACTTAAAAAAAAAAAAAATGCAAGACCTGAATAGACTTTTCTCCAAAGAGGATATACAAATGGCCAAGAGACATATGAAAAAATGCTCAAAGTCACTTATCATCAGAGAAATGCAAATTAAAACCACAATGAGATGTCACCTCACACCTGTCAGAATGGCTATCATCAACAAAATCAACAAACAACAAGCACTAATGAGGATGTGGATAAAAGAGAAGCCTAGTTCACTGCTGGTGGGAATGCAGATTGGTACAGTCACTATGGAACACAGTATGGAGTTTCCTCAAAAAATTAAAAATGGAACCGTTTGACCCAGCAATCCCGCTTCTGGGAATATATCCTAAGAAACCCCAAAACTCCAATCATAGAGAACATATGCAGCCCTATGTTCATAGCAGTGTTATTTATGATAGCCAAGATCTGGAAACAGCCCAAGTGCCCGTCATCAGCAGATGAATGGATTAAAAAGCTGTGGGACATTTACACAATGGAATACTATGCAGCTGTAAAAAAGAGGAATCTCTTACCCTTTAGGACATCATGGAAGGACCTGGAAAAATTATGCTAAGTGAAATAAACCAAACTGAGGAAGACACATATCACACAGTCTCATTTATTTGTGGAATCTAAGGAACAAAATGAATTGCCCAACAAAATAAGACCTGAAGCATGGAGGCATGGAACAGACTGACACACCTCAATGTGCTGTTGAGGGACGAGAAGAGGTAAACCAAAGAACTTACATACTTATATGCATAAGCCATGGACATGGGCAATAGGGTAGTGAAGACGGGGTTGGGGGAGGAGGGGGGAAGTAGGACTACGAGGAGGGGGAAAGGGTGTGGAATGAGAGATATCTGTAATACTATCAACAATAACAACATATAAAATAATAAAATTAAATTAACATCCCTAGGTTATCTGCACCAATAGAAATGCTTTCCTTCTGCTGTAATTGTTCCCTTTTCCTTTGTCATTAATACCCATTGCCTTTGTCTTCTAATCAAACAGCATTTGGACTTCTGCCTAAATGAATGATTCCTGGATACCCATTCTTATTGATCTCAAATAAACACATGCTTTCCTCTCGCTTTGAAAGGACTTTTTAATTTAAAAAAATATATATTTTATTGATTTTTTTACAGAGAGGAAGAGAGAGGGATAGAGAGTTAGAAATATCGATGAGAGAGAATCATCGATCAGCTGCCTCTTGCACACCTCCCACTGGGGATGTGCCTGCAACCAAGGCACGTACCCTTGACCGGAATCGAACCTGAGACCTTTCAGTCCTCAGGCCGACGCTCTATCCACTGAGCCAAACCGGTTTCGGCTCGGCAGGACTTTTTAATTTTTAAATTAACACCAACTAAAATGTCTTTAGTGCTCATTCTGGCACTGCTCGTTTCCAGTTGCACAAGCAACGTCACACTTGTCTCCTCTCAGCCCTTTCCTCTGTGTGCTTCATTTCCAGAGGGCTCTGCCCGCATGGTTGCAAAGATAACTGCCCAGAGTAGGCTCTCTACCAGCTTAGCAACAAGCTGAAAATGATCTTTTCTCCAATTCCAGAAAAATCATCATTGGTCTGACTCAGAACATGTGACCAACCCTAAGCCAATCCCCAGGTCTAATTGGCCAAACCTGGGTTGGGTTATCTCACTCCTAAAGTGGGGTGGGTCTTCCTCACCTGAACCTGTGGTTTTTGAGTAGCAAAGTCTTGTTCACCACTCCACCAATGGGTAAAAGAATGTTGGCAGTTTTGTTTTTCTTTTTATTATTTTTTATAAGTATATTTTATTGATTTTTTACAGAGAGGAAGGGAGAGAGATAGAGAGCTAGAAATGTCGATGAGAGAGAAACATCGACCAGCTGCCTCCTGCACACCCCCCACCGGGGATGTGCCCGCAACCACTGTACATGCTCTTGACCGGAATCGAACCTGGGACCTTGCCGTCCGCAGACCGACGCTCTACCACTGAGCCAAACGGGCTTCAGCAGAATGTTGGCAGTTTTAATTATGTCACTGACATCAATGAAGAGAAATTAAAAATTAGTAAAGTGCCCTTAATCCCATCAACCATACTTTTTTAAGACATCAAAAAATGTGAGAGGCGATTGCAGTAACTAAAAGGAGGAATTAATGAGACAAGATGTCGAGAGTCACTCAATACTGGAATGAATGAGCCCATTTTTAGCTGAGCACTTTAAAGAACAGCTGTAGGTCTGACCAACCCATCCGTTTGAAACGCTGAAGGTTACTGACTGGATAGGCCGGAATGAAATAGCAAAAAGGGCTGGTAAAGGGTAGAGGATATAGCAGACTACGTGCTGCAACCAAACACAGCTGGAGAGAGAAAGGGCTTGGTAAAATTTTCACCTTCGCTTTCGTCTGATACACTAGGGGCGGGGCAGTTTTTGCTGAAAATCTTACCTCATGGCGTCAGCTTCCACTCCATTCTTGGGACCCCACGGTCTGGGGAGCCTAAGCTTCCTGTGGGCCGTTCCCGCAGGCACCTTCAACTCCGCCAAGTCCAAAGCGGAGTTTGGCGCTCCCCCTTCACGCCCAGTTTGGGCCTCCTCCACCCACATCGTCGTCCAAGCCAGACACCTGGGAGTCATCCCGGACGATTTCCTCTCTCTCACCCCCAATTTAAGTCCCTGCATTGCATTCATTTTTCCCCCAAATCTCAACCCACTCCTGCCCGCCCTGCTGCCGCGGCTCTCGTTCAGGCCTCAGGTCTCACCTGCAATGCATCCACAGCCTCGGAACGTCCGTCCTCAGCTCCAGTTCCAGCCCCCACAGTCCCTCCTCCTCGCAGGAGCCACCGGGACCTTTCTAATACGCACATCTGAAAACAACACCCCTATTTTAAAGTCCTTCTCCGGCTCCCCTTTTCTGGAGGAAGGAACCCACGCTCCCCAGCGGGGAAGCCAGCTTGCAGAAGCTGGGGAGAGTGAGGTCGGCCCAGCGCACGAGGAGCCCTGGGATGCGGGAAACACCTGGGCAGTGTTTGCAGGCTGAGGGGGCGGGGCCCGCCGGTGGAACGCGCCGGGATTGGCTGTCGGAGCGCCTTGGTGGGCGGGGCCCAGGACGGGGGCGTGGCCTGTTCCAGGTGGCGCGTCCCGCAGGCACAGACCCAGCGGGGCGGGCGGCCGCGGCCTCCGGACGGCAGGGGGCAGCCTCGCTCGCCCCGGTGGCTTTCGCTTCTGGGCTCCTCGCCTTTCTCGGGAGACGCGGCGACCTCGGGCGGCGTGTCGCGTCGGCCGGGCATGGCGGCGTGGAGCCCGGCCGCGGCAGCGCCTCTGCTCCGCCGGATCCGCGGGGTGAGCACGGGCAGGCGGGGGCCAAGTGCTCGCCCCAGGGCGGGAGCTGCGGAGGGGCCGCGGGGTCGGAGCAGGGGCTCCCCGTCCTTTCTCTCGTTCGTTCGTTCGTTCGTTCATTCATTCTTTCACTCGTTGATGCGTTCAGTGGTCCCGGCAACCGGCGTTCGGAGAAGTGTCAGGACCCGGTGCGCCGGGGGACCCCCAGGCCGGGTGGAGGCCGGGCAGACAGACACCCCAATGCAGCGCACGGGAGGGGGACAGACAGACATCCTAACGGGAGAAGCAGTGTTGACCCATCGAGCCGCCGGCATAGGAGTCCCAGCCCGGAGTCCCCGCGTGGGCGCCGCAGGTGGCGGCGTCTGGACTGTGGGACCGCCCGCCGGCCTCGCTGACCTTGACCCGCACAAACCCCGCATTCCCGCCGTCCGGCCCAGCAGAGGGCACTCACCGCGCGCTCTCCCTCTTTCCTCTCCCCTCTCTGATCCACCCCTCCCTCGCTTCATCCATCCACCTCTTCCCCGTCCTCCCTGTGCCTCCTTCTCCCCTGCTGGCCTCGGACCGACCTCCCCCAGCGGGTCTGCCGGTGCCTGGCAGCGCGGCCCCGCGGCCTCGGGGGTTTTGTCTGTTTAAAGGCCGCTGCCCACAGATCTGCGAAGAAGCAAAGGCTTCTCCTGAGAACGGCAATGCTGACAACCACCGCACTCCTTAGTGGTCACCCTCTGCCCGCCACCCCCTTATTCTCTGCCTTTGTCCCCCCTCCCTCACCCCACTCCACCTCCAGTGCTTTTCTCAGAAGAGGCTCCATTCCCATCCCACCCCCCAGTCTTACCCAGAACCACAACACTAAGTTTCTGTCCCCTTCACAGAGCACTCAGAGTAAGTCCAGCTCTTTCTCCTGGCCTGCATTTCAGCTGCCTGCTGGACTTCTCTGCCGGTGTCCAGGGGGCATTCCCTGAATTGTGTGGTCCTTTCCCTGCCCATCCATCCCTCCCTCCCTCCCTCCCTCCCTCCCTCTCTCCCTCCCTCCCTCCCTCCCTCCCTCCCTCCCTCCCTCCTTCCTCAACCCTCGAGGGCTGCAGTAACAGGACAGACTCAGGCATGGCCTTTGAGACCAGGTGGTGAAAGAGCCAGGGCCCAGGCCATTTTAAAGAAGGTGCCCGGGATTCTCTAACACAGGACCCTGCTCTGGGCCGTCAGGAAAGGCCTGAGGGTGGACGGGAGGTGCCTGTAGCGCCAGCTCTGAATAAACAGCGCCCGTGTTCCCTGCCTGCGGTCCTCCTCATCAGGGACCCGGGCTGGCGCTGCTCCTTTGCCTCTTCCCCGGGCGTCTTTCCCGACGAGCTTCAAACACGCTGCTTTGTGCAGGTGGCCTTGGCACCAAGAAGCCTATCTGAGTCCAAAACCTTCAGCCTGCCATTCAAGGCCTGCCATGCCCTATAGGAAGCCTCCCTGTCCAGCATCACCTCAGCCGGGAGGCTGCTGCCCGGGTTTTCGGTGCCTTCCCCCTGAGGACGGAGACGTGCTCCCCTCAGCAGCACGGGGTCCCTGTGGCAGCCATGAGGGGAGACTGCAAATAATCCAAAAGTGTCTCTCCTTCCGGCTGTTTCATAGAATTCTGTGTCTCCCCAGTGAGTAGTCATGGCTGATTGCACAGTAGGTCTCAAAGTCACGCTCCACTGGAGAGACGGGAATATTTACCAAGCCTGCAGGGGAGGTGGCATTTTGGCCCCACCAGCGCCTGGGCAGGGGCCCCTTGGGCCAGCGGCGCACAACTGCCTGGCAGGGGCCACGTGCTCGCCCGGCTCTGCGTTTTGCCAATGGGTCCAGCGGTGGGCATATTGCTTAATGCCAGCTTCCTCACCTGTAAAGCTGGCGTCATGATCATCTCTCTCCTGGCATTATCGTGGCAAAGCCAGACATCTGTTGCATTAGGCTTGGGGCCTTGTCTCTGGAGTCCAAGCGAGTTATTTACAATCAGCCCCACCCCAGGAAAGTTGGTTCTGCATCCCAGGGAGCTTAGGTGACTTAGCCCATGGCCTGCCGGCCCCGTAGGGTGGGGTGGGGGGAGATGGCGGTGGGCTGCACATCTCGCTCAGCCGGGGCCTCCTCTCTCTCTGTCCTGTGACAGCTTCCTCTTCGCTGCACCCGGCGGATGTTCGCCTCGCAGACCGAGGGGGAGCTCAAAGTAACCCAGATCCTCAAAGAAAGCTTCCCTCGAGCTACCACCATCAAAGTGACTGACATTTCAGGTAAGGGTTCCTCCTCCTCCCACGAGGTTGTCCTCTGGAGGGGCAGCGGGGGAGAGGGGCGGTGGCAGCAGGGGCAGAGGGGTGGTGGTTGCTCCTTCATCTGTGTGGCTTCGGGGCAGATGCAGAAGAGGAGCAACGGAAACAGTGAGGGGAGCAGTGGGAGTGAGTCCCTCTCATTCCCCCCCGGGCTCTGGCCCGGTCTTAATCTGACTGCCAGATGGGCTTTACAGAAATCCCCCACATTCTTCCCATGCCCTCAGTGTCAGAGCTGGAGCGGACCAGGGGCAGTTTAAGGAGAGTAGCTGCCTCACGTTCCCACGAAGAGACGCGCCCAGGGAGGCCGAGGAGCCTGCCCAGCCCCTCACAGGCAGGAGGCGGCCGGACCAGGACCCCGGGCAGACTCCGACCCGAGCCAGTTTCCTGCCCCAGCCAGACCGTGCCTGTCACAGTGGCCACTGGCACCTACCGTGTTTCCCCGAAAATAAGACATCCTCCGAAAATAAGACCTAGCGCATGGAAAGATAAGACATCCCCTGAAAATAAGACCTAGCACAACTTTGGGAGAAAAAATTAATATAAGACACTGTCTTATTTTCGGGGAAACAGGGTACAACTCAAGCCGGCTGTGTGCCAGGAGCTGACTGGGCAACCCCCTTCTGCAGGACGGGGAAGATAGGGCCTTCTGCCAGACACACCCATGGAGATGAGGGGCGGGGGCGGGCGCCTGACTCCCACACCCAGACTGGGCCTTTGCCGCTCTGCAGGGCCACAGCGGCCCACGGGCTTTTCTGAGAACGTAACATGGGGAGAAGGTTTAGAAGAAAAGTTTTGTTCTGGAAACTAGAGATGAATCAATCTAAAGATCCTGCTGAAACCGGTTTGGCTCAGTGGATAGAGCGTCGGCCTGCGGACCGAAGGGTCCCAGGTTCGATTCCAGTCAAGGGCATGTATGTACCTTGGCTGCGGGCACATTCCCAGTGGGGAGTGTGCAGGAGGCAGCTGATTTTGTTTCTCTCTCATCAATGTTTCTAACTTTCTATCCCTCTCTCTTCCTCTCTGTAAAAAATCAATAAAATATATTTTTAAAAAATACTTTAAGATCCTTAGGAGTGGGAGGGGGGGTGCGCACTCTGCAGGGGTCTCAGCACTGCTGAGGCCTTGCTGTCACCGGCCCTGCACCTGCCCAGGCCCAAGGAGGGCAGAGCTGGACCTCGATCTCCTGTCTGGCTCTACCCAGCCCTGGACCGGGTATAGAGAGGGAACTGAGGCGGCAGCCTTGGTTTAACCAAAGCGTGGACACAGAGCTCATACGAGAAGCAGACACAGAGCACCTTGCACACAGGGGCCCGGTGTAACAGCCCGCGGGAAGTTCTCTTTCTCGCCCCGGCCGTTCCATGCTAGAGCAGCGTGCTTTCTCACCAGCCACCGCACCAGCTGCCCAGCCCCGGGGAGACAGAGCGTGGTCAGAGCTTTGTTGTTGTGCTTTGGTTAATCCTCACCTGAGAAGATTTTTTCCATTGACTTTTTAGAGAGAGTGTAAGGAAGGGATAGATGGAGAGAGAAAGAGAGAAGCTTCTAAATGAGAGATTGGTTGCCTCCCCAGGTACGTGTCCTTGATTGGGAATCGAACCCGTGACCCTTCTGTTGCTGGGCCGACGCTCTAACCATTTGGCACCACTGGCCGGGGCTGCGGCTCCTATGTCCCTGTGTCTCTTGCACATCCTTGTTCCTTTTCTTTTGGGTAGTATTACAGTTTTCAACCCAAATTTTAGTGTATTCTTACACTAACAAAAACACACCACGATTGCTGGTATATGTATTTTGAAGGTGGAACACTGAAACTCAGTCCCTCCCACACTCTTCCATGGCATTTGTTGGCGTAATAAAAGGAACTACCAGGACAGCCTACATCTGTGCCTTATCTTTCCTGCCCCCCACGTGATAATCCTGGGAGGTGCCCCTGCTTACTGAGGGAGGAACACATTTTGGACGGGGGCAGCCTGCCAGGAGGGGCACGTGGTCAGATCCTGAGCTGTGACCTGTTTGTAACCGTCTTAGCGACTTCCTGCTGAACAGTGGTATCCAGAGCTTGAGACTGTGCGGGACTTCAAGGCCCTGCCGGACCGTGGCTGCCCTCACTTAATAACCGAAACGCTTTCAAATTGCACTTATTTCAGGAGGCTGTGGGGCGATGTATGAAATCCAGATCGAGTCAGAAGAATTTAAGGAGAAGAGGACTGTCCAGCAGCACCAGATGGTAAATCAGGTCAGAGAGGAACCGCCCCCTTCACCCCTCCCCCGGTCCCCTATCTCCCGAAGGGCCTGCCGGTGGCCATGGCATTGGCCTGGCAGTCTTAGGAAGGAATAATGCAAACAGGATCCAGGACCTGAGAAAATGTAACCGGGAACTATCTGGAGTCCATTGTGGAAATTACGGCTTCTATTCAAAACGGAAAACAAGCCACCCAATAGTTTGGTCTTGTTTCTGAATGAGCCAGAGTGTACTGTTGCTCTCACATACTGAACAGTATTGGTGAATGTAGGAGTGCCAAAAGATAGGGTTTTGTAGATTTGAAGTGTTTTTAGCCTCTCTTTAGGACTGCTTCACAGATTGGGGCACAGCACGACTGAGAATTGCTCCAGCTGCCCCGGACCCAGGGACAGACACCATAGGGCAGTGAGGCTCCGGGGAGGCAGAAGGCATCTCATGGCACAAAACCGATCACACCTCTCTCACCAGGGACCCAGGCCATCGTGCTCGGCCTTTATTCTAGGCAAGTGGTCGGCAAACTCATTAGTCAACGGAGCCAAGTATCAACAGTACAACGATTGAAATTTCTTTTGAGAGCCACATTTTTTAAACTTAAACTTCTTCTAACGCCACTTCTTCAAAATAGACTCGCCCAGGGACCAAAGAGCCGCATGTGGCTCTCGAGCCGCAGTTTGCTGACCACTGCCATAGGGGCCTGAAACATCAGCTTTAACCGGACAAGGCCACGTTTACTTATCATCTACCCTTATTTTACTTGGGATTAATTCAAGCCTTGACCCTAGGGTGTGTCTGTAAACTCGCCGCCCTCGGCAGGGATATTTGACACCCTTCCGGCAGGTCTTGAACATTGTGAACTAGTTTAACGTTTGTAAAGCACTGCTTTGGTCGTGAGAGCGCCTCTGTGGCTCCTTCTACGTGAAGTTCAGGTGCCCAGGCTGCTGTTCCACGCCCTCCCCCCACCTGTCTCGGCCCACACCCTCCCTTGGCCCCTGCCCCGTGGTCTCTGTGCATGAGCTTCGCCCAGATCAGACGTCCTGCAGGGTCGCTTCCTCCCTCCTCTGCCAGCTCAAGCGCCGCCTCCCTCCCTGCCTGCAGGGCCGAATGCCCCCACACTTTGACTCCAGCATTGTCTGCCTTGCACTCTGGGCACGAATGCCCCTTGGCCCCATCAGCCCCATGTGGGCTGGTTCCCTTCTAAATCTGTCTTTGGATCACCGTGGAGCCCAGCCCTTCACTCGCACGTGGGCACCTGCGGCCCGCAGGTGCCAGGGGTCTGCCGGGCAGCCGGGGGTGGAACAGCAGCCACTTTGCCCTTCCAGATGGTTTCTGCTTGGCTCCCTGTGGACGGGGTGCCCCTGCCACTACCGCTCACGCTCCTGCCCTTTTCCATCCGTGTCCCCGGAGGAAAGCCTGGGCCACACCTGAACCAATCAGGCTGGATCCGGGGTGCATGGCTCCCTCAATACCGGGCCTGTTGGTAGTCCCAGCAGCAGTTCACAGCGTGGACAGCAGTTGTTCCCCAGGAGAAGGGAGGCTGCTGGGCAGACTGGGGGGTGGGGTGGGGGGAGGAATGTCCACCCCACTGATGATCACATTTGGGCCTAATGTAAAGGCTTTTGACTCTTTACATTGATTATACACCCCTGTGGTCCACACCGCCCTGGGGTCCGGTAGCTTTTCTGTTGGCCCGCCAGAGAAATAATATCTATTTGACTGTGGTGACTCATTCAGGTTGGTGCCCTGAAGCTGAGTCTCATATTTTACAACTTTATTTTTCAAGTAAAAGTGGGCTGTTTGTGCTAAATAGTGTGGCTTTAGAACAGCTGCTTGTTTGAAATAGCAAAACACAAAAAGCAGCCTAATAGTTCCTCACAATGGGCGGGGCTGAAAAGTTAGGCCGGACACAGGCAGCTCTGCGGTGGGGAGGGGAAAGCAAAGTGTGGAACGCTGTGTCTTAAGTGCTACCATTTTGTTTTAAAAAGGCAGTATGGGGAGGAATGTGATTTTATATTAGCTTCACTGCAATTTTGGTCCTCACATAGGAACTAACAGCAGTTCTCTATTGGGGGACAGAGGTGGGAACGGGGTGGGGGGAGGGGGGGAGAAGAGGGCAGGTGTGGGAAGGAGATGTCACTGTATGCCTTTTTAGGTCTAATTTTTTGAGCCAGGTTAGATTCTGATTTAAAAAAAGAAATTGTTTAAAAAAAAAAAAAGAGGAAAAAGTGCTGAAAGAAGGTGCTCAGTGTCTTACAGAGCTATATGAAGATGCTGGCTGAGGGACTTATTGCAGTCAGTGCCGTATACAAAAGAAATGATGACGCTCTTTTCCTTCCTTAGGCCCTAAAGGAAGAAATCAAAGGAATGCACGGATTGCGGATATTTACCTCTGTCCCCAAACACTGACCACGCCCCGGCTGCGTAGATGCTGCTGCTTAAAACCTTGGATGAACTTGACCATTCTTTCCTAGGCATTTGCCAAAAAATGTATCTATTTTGTTCATAGACATTTCCATGTTATAATTATAGAAGAATATCTTCTCTATTTAGATGTTAATTAAAGGCAACAGATAACTGAGTCTTTTGAGGAGTCATTCATCCAGGAGGTCATGGTCACATGCCCGGGTTGCAGGCTCAGTCCCCAGTGTGGGGTGTGCAGGAGGCAGCTGATCAGTGATTCTCATCATTGATGTTTCTATCCCTTCCTTTCAATAAAAATGTATTTTTAAAAAGATATCCAGGTTGGGAGAAGGGCATACTCTCCTTCCAAGTTCAGTTCAAAGGCGACGGGGAAGGCCTTTCCTGATCTGCCCCTCCTGAATCAGGAGCCACCCTGGACCAATCAGCTGGAGTCGACAATCATGTCTGTAGGCTGGAGAGAAGGAAGGAGTAGTTGCCAGAAGCAGGGCTTCTGTTCTCACAGAAGAGGCGGAACAAAGCAGCAGGTGTTCTCCGCGAGAGGAAAAGGTACTGTGGCCCCGCAAGCCTCCTCGGAGTCTGCGGATGCAGAGAAACTCGCCTCTCCTCAGCTTCACCCACCCCGGGGGACGCTCAGGCCCGGTGACGTTGTCAACTCTACCAGCTCTGCGTGTCTGTGTCCAAATCTGGCCACGAGAAGTTTCTAAAGTAGCCCTCCCACGTTGTTCTTCCCCCAAGTTAAAAGGAAAATTGGAAGAGGAATCACAGGGTGTTTTTTTTTGTTTTGTTTGTTTTGTTTTTTTGTTGATTAAAAAAGACAAAATTGTTCATTTTAGTAGCCAGAGGCATCTAAACATGGCATCTGACACAGCCAACTCCTAGCTTTTTGATTAAGTGCTCTGTGGAAACTGCTGAGTTATGAAAGATGATATGTTTTCTGAGCTAAGTGTCTTTAAAAACAGTTTTCCAGTGGAAAATTCAGTGTCCTGCCCTCGCCGGTTTGGCTCGGTAGAGTGTCAGCCTGAAGGATCCCGGGTTTGAATGCAAGGGCACCTGCCTCAGTTGTAGACTTGATACCTGGCCCTGGTTAGGCATGTGCAGGAGGCAACCAATTGATCTATCTCACATTGATGTTTCTCTCTCAGTCTCTCCTTCTCTTCCACTCTCTAAAAATCTATGGAAAATATCCTTGGGTGAGGATTAACAACAGCAAACAACAAAAGAAAATGCAGAATCCTAAGGTAGGTGCTTGCTGATGAGGCAGGTCACTCTAAAGGGAACTGCCACAGCCCTCCCCCAGGCCGGTTTGTGCCAGGGGTTCCTGAAGGCCCCTCTCACCCCTGACTAGACCACCCAGCTAGCCGTCATGGGGTCAGCTGGCCCGCAACCTGGGAGAGGACCTGGGGCCACACAGCCCCACCCAACACTCATCATGGCAAGGAGTCCATAGATCCAATTCCCTGTCTTGGGAACCACACTGGAAAGGGTGACCCAGGGACCGCCAGGCCACTGACCATCCAGGGGCTGGAGTAAAGCTCGGGGCAGACGCAGCTGGGCATTCACCTCAGGAGAATCAGTCAGGTGAGGAGCAAAGGGCCCAGGGATGTGTCAGGGGTACCGGAAGTCCAGGTGAAGAGAAGAGGGCGCTATTAGGTAGCTGATTCTCAGTGGCTGTGAACGAGAACCCCCTGGGGCATTGACAATGCTCCCACCTGGGTCCCTCCCAGGCCTCAGAGGCTGGCCAGTGATGGTGGGAGAGTAGACACGCAGAGACCAGGTGGTCAAAGTTAGAACCGGAGCCGGAGGAGTCAGGCGCCCTCCCTCTGTCCCTCTACCCCTGGAAGGCCTGCCCAGCGCCCCCTCTTGTCCCTCCAGGGAGCTTCTGTGCACGCCTCAGTTTGCCTGCTTCCCTCCATCCATCACCCATCTCTGGGAGCTGCCCGGACACCCCGAATCCCCACAGGGTAAAAGGCGGCCCCGCGCCAGTGCCCGCGGAGCCCGCGCAGGGCCCTGACCTCACCTGGGCGGGATGCAGCTGCAGATCCGCGGGAAGGACACCCACTGTGCTGTCTCCCCGGAGGGAGCACCGGGAGCAGAGCGGCCCGGTCCAGCCGCCCAGGCTTCCTCCCCGGGGCTTCCTGCAGAGGACTCTGTAAGACACGGGGGCACATCCCTGAACCCCTGGTCTGCGTCCCAAAGAGCCCCAGAGCACATCTCCCAGCTCTTCCCCTGGGACCCGCTGGAGGGCGCCTCCGCTCCTTAGGCATGAACCCGACTTCTGACACCTTTTATGGCTGCATTTGCTCTAATAATGCCGGCAGGATTCAGTACGTTAGGCCCCTCATTTCAGGAGACTGGTCTCATAGGTTGTTGTAAGATACCTGCCACTGGGAATTTAAAAGTGCATTTGTGCACTTCCATGTATTTTGAGGAAAACATGTTTATTAGAGAGACAGATAAAAGATGCCAGATATATTATTTTCTTTTAGAGTAAGAATAAAAAGAAACAATCGTGATGGCCTTTACTCAAACACAATTTATCCAGAACCCAGGTGTCCTTAGTCCGTTCCTGGGTAGCATCCAGCAGACACCTCTCCAGCAGTTACAAAACCGAAAGGTTTGGCTCAGTGGCTAGAGTGTCAGGCGGCTGAGCGAAGGGTCCCGGGTTCCACTCTGGTCAAGGCCATGTACCTTGGCTGCAGACTTGATCCTCAGTAGGGGGCATGTCGGAGGCAGCACATCCATGTTTCTATCTCTCTCTCCCTCTTCCTTCCTTTCTCTCAAATCAATGATATATAGACTGCGTGGCCAGATTATTATGATCTCTGAAAGCATAATAATCTGGCCACTCAGAGTGTGTGTGTGTGTGTGTGTGTGTGTGTGTGTGTGTGTAAAAAAAACACTAAAGGTCTTCAAGCAGAATAAGCAGCTAAGCAAATGGAAAAAAGAGTAAAAAGTTTAAACAACTGAAGTTCAAGTAATAACTTTAGTTTTTATTTTTAAACTATTTTTAGGACACTTTATACAACTTTCTGGAACACTTTCAATTTACTGAAAAATTGAGAAGATAGTACAGAGATCCTTTGCACCCCACACCCAGTTTCCTCTCTCTCTCTCTCTCTCTCTTTTTTTTTTTTTTTTAATATATTTTTATTGATTTTTTACAGAGAGGAAGGGAGAGAGATAGCTAGAAACGTCGACGAGAGAGAAACATCGACCGGGGATGTGCCCGCAGCCAACGTACATGCCCCTGACCGGAATCGAACCTGGGACCTTTCAGTCCACAGACCGACGCTCTACCACGGAGCCAAACTGGTTTCGGCTCTTTTTTTTTTTTAAATATATTTTATTGATTTTTTACAGAAAGGAAGGGAGAGAGATAGAGAGCTAGAAGCATCGATGAGAGAGAAACATCGACCAGCTGCTCTTGCACACCCCTTTCTGGGGATGTGCCCGCAACCAATGCACATGCCCCCGACTGGAATCGAACCCGGGACCTTTCAGTCCGCAGACCGACGCTCTACCACTGAACCAAACCGGCTTTGGCCCAGTTTCCTCTCTTAAGGGCTTGCTTTTGTTACAGTTAATGAACCAGCATTTATTCAGGATTGCAAAGTAAAGCCCATAGTTTATTCCGATTTCTTTCCTTTTTCCCTAAGGTCTTTGCCAGCTCTGCCCTCCACGGCACCACATCCCATCAGTTATCATGGCTCCCTAGGCTCCTCTTGGCCATGACCATTTCTCAGAATGTTCTTGTTTTTGATGCCCTTTTAGTTCTTATATGTATTTTATTTTAAAATATATTTTTATTGATTTAAGAGAGAAAGAGGGAGAGGGAGAGGGAAAGAGAGAGATTAAAACATCAATGATGAGAGAAAATCCTTGATTGGCTGCTTCCTGCAAACCCCCTACTGGGGATGGAGCCTGCAACCCAGGCATGTGCCCTTGACCAGAATCGAACCTGGGACCTTCAGTCCACAGGCTAACATTCTATCCATTGAGCCAAACCGGATAGGGCAACCCTTTAGTTTTTAAATACCAGTACATACAATTATATTCTGCATGGAAGTGTTTGAAAAAAAGCAATTTTGAGAAAAAATCAAGGGCACAAAAGAAGTCATAATCCAGTTGGCTGATTGAAAATGTTTACACTACTCTGAACATGTTGGCAAATGTGAAATAATCATGTGTTAGACACCACCCAAAGAAGTGCACTGGTGTTATTAAAAATCAAACTGCCTGAGGTATGGACATCAGGAAACAGCAGCTTCGCTCAAGCAGGCTGAGTGCAAGGAGGGCATTGCCGGTGAGGTTTGGTAGATTTATAAACAAGGTGAGGGAGAAAAGGCTTCCACACACACCTTACTGGTCTGTAAGCATGTCACTATCAACCTTCGAAGTAAAGAAAGAAAACTTTATGCAGAGATTTTCCTTCTTTTATTTAACAGAGAACTGTTGGAAGAAAATAAAGACTGCTTTGGGTGGAAATGGAAATTCCTGATGCTTTGGAAACTGTTTCAATCTTTTTAAAAAATAATTCAGACATTGACTGGAGGAACTGAAATGATAAAATATCTTGAACTGGCCCTAGCTGGTTTGGCTTAGTGGGTAGAGTGTTGGCCTGTGGACTGAAAGGTCCAGGGTTCAATTCTGGTCAAGGGCACATACATGCCTGGGTTGCAAGCTCGATCCTCAGGAGGGGGCATTCAGGAGGCAGCCGATTAATGATTTTCTCTTATCATTGATGTTTCTTTCTCTCCCTCTCCCTTCCTCTCTGAAATCAATAAAATGTTTATCCTTCGTAACAAAAGGCTAATATGCAAATAGACCAAACAGCTGAACAACCAGAATAACTGACAACTGGTCACTATGACGTGTGCTGTGTGGAACATGGTGGGTGTTGGTTGCGGTGGGATGGTGGAGCAGGTGAGCGGGGGCGCCAGACCAAGGTGGGGTGCTGGTCACTGTCACTGGGGTGAGCCTCTGGT